GGGTGGAGGCGTGGATGGGTGGGTGGGTGGGTGGATGCGTGGATGGATGGATGGATGGATGGCTGCATTGTTGGGTGGAAGGGTGAATGGGTGGGAGGACGGATGGGTGGGTGGATAGGTGGGTGGATGGGTGGGTGGAAGGACAATTATTTTCTTTCCCAGAAGAGGAGGCTGAATTAAGGCAACATCCAATGCACTTTTATTTTCTTGTGTGCCATATTTTTTGGTTGTCTCCGGTCATGAATTATGAATGGCAGCAGCTGTATTGTTTGTGAAATGTAAAGAGATTTGAACTATTGGATGTTTTGATTTTCTTCTTTTTGCTGTTGAATTTCTGATTAAGAATTAATCAGATTCATCTTCAGGAAGGAGAGGAAGAATAGAACCAGACGGTAGGAAGGTGTTTACACACACACACACACACACACGCACACACACACAGAGCTGCATATATAATATGTCACAGATGTGAGCACACACGGGAACACATACTACTTGTGCATGTGGTCCGATCCTGTCTGCTCACGTGTGCACACACACGCCCACTGACTCAGGAGGCCATGACTGCGTATCTGTGCCCTGGCGTGCCATCGGGCCTGTTCTCCCTGACAGGCTTGTGCTCATGAGGAAAATGGGACAGGAAGCGGCTATGGGCTGGGAATCAGCTCCTGTTCACAGCTGGGCTGTCTGTGAACATGAGTTAGTGACAGCCTGGGAGGAGAATCTCACTGCCGCTGGCTGCTTCGGGATCCAAGCCTCGGCACACACATGAAGCCCCTACTCCCAAGGGGAGGGCACAGAGCAGGGCCTTGCAGCCCCGCCAGGAGCAGCACAGAGGAGGGGCTGTCGGGAGCGGAGCCCCAGGGAGGTGACTCACGGCCACCGTGACTCCTGGAAACTGGGAAGGCCGAGTTGGGACTGCTAGGTTTTCTCTGCATACAGGTGTTACCTACTTGGTGAGCTGCGTAGAGGAAAAGAGATTTCCAAAATACATTTATTAACATTTTCAACTGTCATCCTCACTTCCAAACTTTTCCTTTCACTGCTGTCTTTAGAAGATGGAGGAGAAGGGAACCGCAGTGCCTTGTCTGGGTAGAGGGCTGGTGCGAGGCAGGCTTTCCTCAAGGCCTGGGCGTCCTCAGCATGCCAGCATGTGCCTCTCCAGCTCGCACGATTCTCTTCAGCTGTTTCCCCCAAAGCTGCAGCCCGACCAGCCCTCTGGGTGAGGGCGGTGTGGGAGAAGCTGCCCCTGGGGCTGGGTCATGGGTCGCAGTGCCGATCCTTTACTACGGCGGGAGAGCTAATGACCGAGGCTGCTGCGTGGCAGGTGTGGTGTCAGGATGCGTGTGCCGGACATCCAGCACTCCTCCGCATGGCGCTGGGCCATGACCTAAGTCTTCGTGGATCAAGGTGGCTGAGGGGCGCCAGCCATTGAGTTGGCCTCGCGAGCCCGACAAAGCTGGGGGCGAAAGGTCTGTAGGTGGGAAAGCTCACTTTGAAGAACCTTCCTAGAAACTTCTGCCAGCCCTCCTCCTCACTTGGTCTCGGCGAGGGTGTGATCGCAGGCTTCCCCAGACCCCACAGAAGTGTGAAGCGGTAACACAGACCTGCAAACAGGATGGCAGCAGCGCCGTGCCCCGGAGGACACAGAGCAGAGCGCAATGGCCGGGCAGCCGGGGTCTGCGCTGCAGGTTTTGAGGAAATGCTGTGGGATTTCTAATAGATTGATGAGGAAATGCACAGCACTGAGTTTCCATGGAAACCCACATTAGCACTGTGAGAAAATTAGGGGAATGTTTGTTACGGTGCAGGTGGAAGGCAGATGCAAAGACAGGGGCCTCAGGACTGCCTGTCGTCAAACAGAAGGGAGCTGGCCTGGGAGGGGAGGTCGAGCCGTGGACCACGGACAGCCTGCTGAGAGGGCAGCAGGCGCCCCTCGGGCTGAGCGTGTGGCAGCTGTGGAGCGGGAGCATCCATGTGGACAGGGACACAGGGGCATCACTGGGGGGGTGCAGCTTGGACAGGATGCTGAGATGGCAGAGAAGCTAGAGATGGATGAACACACAGGAAAGAATTCAGGGAAAAGCACCAGGAGAATAGCATGGAGATTTCAGCTGGGAGTAGAGGTGCATGCCTAGAATCCCAGCACTCCTGAGGCTGAGGCAGGAGGATGGTGGGAATGTGAGGCCAGCCCAGGCTACACAGTGAGTTCAAAGCCAGCTAGAACTGCATGGAGACAGACAGAGAGAGAGAGAGAGAGAGAGAGAGAGAGAGAGAGAGAGATCCTCTTCAGTATTCTCAGGTTCAAACCAAGCATGGTTCATAAATGAGAAACCAAGTGCACAGGAAAGAGACGTAGCTGGAGAAGGTGGTCGGAAGGTGGACCTCTCGGGCGCGTTATAATCATTGCTGTAAAAATGACAGTGTCAAGCCATACAGTTACGTGTAGAAGATGGGCAAGGCAATGATCCTGAGAATCTCCAGAAGATTTGTGAATCTAGCAGTTAATTGGAAAGATTCTCACCCTGACTAACTATATATACTGATACCTGTGAACTAAGCTACTGCACTGCAGATGGTAATCTGTAATAGTAGGTTCATGCTTGGAGTGCCTGTCATTCTGGTCTTCTGAATACGGGCTGCTTGTCATGACATGCCGGTTGCTGCTGTGCTGTCTCTCAGGAAGATGATTGTTCAAAAAGAAGGGGGTGGTGAATGAAGGCAAGAGACAGGAAAAGGGATGTTGTGGGACTGTCCTGCTTCAAGGTTGTATATCGTGAGATTTTTGGACTTACGTGTAAACATAAGAAGTATATAATTCTTTATGCCTATTTTTAAAAATATATTCTAATTTTTAAATGTTTTTTCATCATATTCTGTAGGGACTTAAAGGTCAGCATATCAATTCAATACTTGATGAAATATACCTGTTCCATGTTATGCCTAAGATGTTTGATATTCAGACAGATAGCGAGGTTAAGCTTAACAGCCTAGGTTGTGTGGTAATAACAATAAGCTTCTCTTCTGGAGGGTTAACAACCTAAGTTTGCAGACCAAAATTAGAGAAAAAGGAGGGCTGCAAGGAAAGCCAACATTTTGGCCCGAGCCTTCCAAGGTCAATTAAGACTCAGGACATATCGGAACTTGTACTGTAACGTCATGTAACTCGGTAGTGTCCCAAATTTTCTGATTAAGGAGATTATGGGGCCAAAGAGGAAAGTGATCGATGATGTAGAGTGTGCCTAAGGAGAGTCACATGGAGAGAAAACATTCTCTCAGGCTTTCACAGACAGCACATTGGCCAAGCAATGGCCGTGACTCATCCACATGGCTGACACTGACAAAGCTTCTACAATCTGAGGTACAGGATCTCAGGATAAATCCTGAGGGGATTTCACTGACCTTATCAGACCCAAAAGCTACAACTCTTGTTGCATAGGTCCTGCTTTACCTTGGTCTTAACCATCCAGCAGAAAAGTATAATAATGAAGTATAAGAAGTAAAGCCATGGTGTTATGTTGAGCTGTAGGGGACTCAGGTCAACAATTGCTGACATTGCCAGTCAAGCGGAAGACCCAATACTATTATGGATTATTGGACTCTTTAAGAATATTTTGCTGAGTTTACATACATATAATATTTAAATGATGGAACTAAACAAAAAAAGGGGATACAGATGAATGTCCATTTTG